TTGTAGTGCGCTGACGACACACTTAGATTAAATGTTGACTTTGGAAGGACCTTTTGGAACCAAATTATTCCCTTAATTTAAGTGTAAAATTTAAAGATGACTTAATTTTCTTCAAAAGAAGTAAAAATGGAGACTTTATCTTATTTGTAAATGAGCTGTATTTAAAGTTGTAAGGTCGTCAAAAATCAATGAGAGAAACCCGTACTATTTAAGTAGTTATTTCCCTACAGAGTTGGATATGCGGGCAGGTGAAAAGAAGTTAGTTCAAATGCTGGCCTCATAAAGAATCTGGAATACTTTAGGATTATACTGTTCGACAAATTTTAAAAAGCTATTTAAGTAAAATTTCCGAGTCAGAAAACATTTTAAATAGTCGGTTAATAATTCCTGAGTTACAATATCTAATGTAAATACTAGCAAATATAATTCCTTTGAGGGTATTTAACAGCGGTGTCTGCCTACAGCGGTGCTGCCGTCTATTAAGTCGCCAGAACAAGAAAATGAGTAATTACAGTTTCTACACCGATTTTCGTTAACAAAAATAGCAACATCTCTGCCTCCGAAACACGATGAATATTTTTCATCAGATTGAACACAGCAAAAGGACAAAGCAGTTGCCAATCAGTACTACCATTTAACCACGTCTTATAAACACTAATAAATTCAGTCCTACAATGTCTTTTTCCACCAAACGTAACTCCATGTCGTGGGCTTCTGTTGAAGATCGAACGGCAGTTTGTCGACAAGAAGACCGGGTTCATAATTCGTTTTTTAGCTGACGCTTGTACGCGAGATGCCAACCGCAGCGGTTTTTTGTTGATAAGAATATAATAAAGTTGACGTAGGGAGGTCACGTGTTTACAGTAGTGCAACAGTTGGCATCATGGTCAGTTGACAGTGAATTTTACTATCTAAGTTCCTTTTAAAGGTGCTAGCTTACTGTAGGGATGACCTTATAATCTTATTTTAGATAAATGAAGGGTAGAAAAAAGATCTCTACATCATAGGGAAATGGCAAAGAATTATACAGTTTCAAATTTCCTACGTGAGTATAGAACAAAAAATGGCGGTTAAAATTCGAAAGCCGCATTAGGCATTTTTAACTTACATAATTATTATCAGAAACAGTGAAGTATTCTCGATCAAATTTTCCCAAGCCTTTGCCAGTGAATGAAATTTGTAATATAATTATTTAAAAATTATACAATTTATTAAAACAGTGCACAATAATATCTGTTAAAGCGATGTTTTGAATTCATGAACGTTAAGTAATCAATGAATCTTAATGATGGCCTATTTAATTTCTATCGGGAATATAGCAGTATAGCCTAACAGTTGCTTTATGCCCATAAAACGCCTCATCACTTTATTAATAGATGGATTCTGTGTTTTTTATGGTCCATGGAGAGGAATGGATATTTTAGTAATGACAGCATCCTTTTGTTATAGTTCCTTTTGGTGAATATCGCAGTTGCGGCTCCTTTGTCTGCAGGAAGAGTGGTACTATTTTTATCACTTTTAAAAGTCCACAGTGTCTTTGTTTTCTTGTGAACTAGTACAGGAAAATGACTGTACTCTTTTGTAATCTGTGTGTTAATCGGCCGTAAGATTCAATACTTATATGATTTACTTCAATTTGGCAAAGGAAATATCGTGCCTTATGGCATCGGAAAGCTGATTTTCTTCGGTTATTTCAGAGGTGTAAGATAACAGATTCACCACTTCTGATTCAAATCTTACTTCACAAAAGTTCACCGACAGGTTCGTGTCAACTTATTTTCTGCGTATATACGTTTATATAGATATTCAGAAAAGCATTACCGACAAAGGCAGGGGAGACTGGAATGGCTACTGCCGGTTTATCAGTCGTCGTCTGCCTGTTATACCCAACCCCTAAGTTGAAAACATCTGGGACTCGACCCCGCGACCTGTTGGTTGGAAATCCAACGCCTCCGACCAACAGTTTGCGGGATCGAGCCCCAGACGCTTCATACCTGAGGGTTGGGTATAACCGGCTGACGACGACTAATAAACCAGAAGTGGCCATCCTAGCCTCTTATGTCTTTGTTGGAAATTCTATTATCCTCATATCCCGCGCCGCTATGCGGCTGCTGGCGAGAGTGACAAGCGCCAGGGCGGCGCGGTTGGTAAGCGCCGCTCTACCATTGCATGCCTATGTGTACCAGATGGGCTAACTCATGAAATGTCAACCAAAATTCAAAAATGCTTTTTTGTTTCGAAAAGATTAATTAAGCAGAGTTGGAGAACTAATCATCCAGCAGCATAATTATATAATAATTCAGTTACCCCAGAATGCCGACTTCCGGACGCACGTCTTTTCGGCGGCATGCAAAAGCTATGCTCTCTAAAAAATGACTACACAATTAGCATGCATGTTCCCATTGATTTTCGTTGCCCTTAAAAATTCAATTATATTTCATAAAAATCATGCATGACAATATTCATTCTTTTACTCATTCGGAGGAAAATTACGTCGTCTACTACTTTGATACTTGAAGGACGGGTATCATTTTGTTTTTAAAGACTTTCTCCTCCGAAATAATTTTGAACCCCACCTGCAGTTACACTCGCATTCAGGGTTTTCAAAATACAAACCATATATTTTCCGCTTATGGAAAACCGCAAGTTTCTCTAGAGTACTAAGTGGACACCATATGGGTTTCTTAAAATTCAGCAGTGGATTTGAGCCATGTTAGTAAATTTACGAGCCACATTGTTAGATGCAGAGACATGACGTTTTATGAACGACCCTTTCACAGTTATCGAAAATCTCACAATTAGAACCTTTTTCGAAACCGGTTTATACCCTTCCATAAAGGATAATAGGTAAAGAAGACGTAATTTTCCACCAAATGAGTAAAATAATGAATATTGTTGTGCATGTTTTCCATGAAATATAATTGAATTTATATGGGCATCGAAAATCGATCGAATAAATTCATGCTAATTAAGTAGTCATTTTTTTACGGAGTTTAGCTTTTTCATGCTGCCGAAAAGAATTTCGATCAAAAGCCGGCATTTCGCGGTAACATAACTATTATAGAATTATGCTGCTCAATGATTAGTTCTCCAACTCTGCTTAGTTAATCTTTTTGAAACGAAAACGCATTTCGGAATTTCGGTTCACATTTCGTGAGTGGGCTTTAACTGATCAAGCCACAGGGACTGTTCGTCCAGATGTCCCTGGGGTTCAATGTAGAGTTTTTATACAGCCTCAGACAGAAAAGAAGGACAAGAATGGCGATTGCACGTAGATTAGCTCCCGTTAGCCAGGTTTGACAAAGCCGACGTCTACAAGTACTCCAAAGTTTCATTAAGAAAATGGGGAATTCTTTGGGAATAAAATAACGCTTAATGCGCAATTTTTCAACTAGGGTTCCCTACCTCGCCTTCGGCTGCACGTCCATTTTTCATCCATAGAGCACACGGTAATCTGAAAAATTAAGTTGACAAAATTTCCATATGCAATTATCTGCATTTATGGCACACATACATTCAGTTATATACTGAGAGATGAGCATCCGCTGAATGAGTAATTATAAAGTAATAGGTTCTTTGGAAAACGTAACATACTCTTTTCTGTAAATTTTTGACAGTGACTCATCAGGTCGTCTTTAGACGTGCGGCGAATGTGAAAAACAGACAACATTTTTAATTTGGCCAAGAAATTGATACCCCCCATGATTCCCGCCAGTGAGTCATGGCTTTCGTTGACATCTCGCGTTGATTGGCTGTGGCCTTTTCCATGTTTCCTTGAGATTATTGGAGAGAGTGTCTAGACATATGTGCCGGCTAATGCATAGTTCATCGAAGTAGATAGCTTCCAAAAATTTCCGGTCATTTTAAGATGGACAGACACCACCAATGCGAGTTCTGTCACAAACAAATTTACGGCCAGTTTCTCGTATGTGCATGGCAAGTTGGAACAAATAGTCTCGCCCCCTTACGGCCAGTTGATGTTCGTGTATGTGTGTAGAGGCTGATTTTCTAGTTTAACCGCAGAATACTGGATTACCGGTGTTAGACGCACTGTTGTGGACGACCACTTTCCTATCCAAATAGCTAATCCTATCCATAGGGTTTACGAGCTTGTTGCCCAATGTGGCCGGTGCTTTGTGTGCCAACGGTATTTGATGCTTCCTTGGGTGTCTTTCGACGAGTACAGAAAGATTTTGTATGCACGGAAGTGTTCTGTAGGTGTTCTATTATAGCGCTTTATCAGATCAAACCAGTTTCTTGTCTTTTTCTTTTAATTTGTGCTGTCTCATGCAGCAGCGTACACAATCTCTGTTTAGCACTTTCACCACACGTCTGTGGATGACCTGGGTTATCGTTTTCGAAAATTCACTAAAATAAAGTTTGTCGCGTTTCTCAAAGGACTTATTACTCTCTAATTCATTTAGCTGTACGTTTATGTGTGCTTTCTGTCTTTAAAGAATACGGAAAGTACTTTTGCGGGCAGACTAATTTTGCTTTGTACATAGGCGTGCTTGGTCTATCCCAGGATCCTTTTAGGGCAATTCCTGAGTAGATTTAAAGCACAAGAAGCCTAACTAGAATACCAGTACGCGTTAAAAAATTCCGAGCTTATACTATAACATGTTGTATTTGCTCATATTTGCAGATGTTTTGGATCGCGGACCACCAGACGTTATTCGGTATGCGCACTCATAATAAATCCTAACTTGTTATGTGTAGCGACAGGCCCCGTTGGCATCCGATACGCCCCTGAGCTTCGTGTTGCGCGAAATCATGGTCATTGTACGCTCTGGACCAGGGGGTGTGCTGGTGCGCCGTGGTGTATATTTTTCACCCTGTTAGCCACCTGCGGTAGTTGTGTCAGCAAGATCATTATCGTTATGAAACGAATAGCGCGCAAGTCACAGCTCCCTACCTTGCCTTAGTGCACACTATGGGCATACGCTTAAACAATGGCTGAACTGTCATGTGCTCAGATCCTCAGGTGTGCTATTACGACGATGGCCACCACCACCACCACCACCACCACCACCACCACCACCACCACCACCACCACCACCACCACCACCACCACCACCACAACCATCACCACCATTCTCAAAGTCTCACCGCCACTGTCCCACTTGGTGTTCAACAAGTATCAACCAAAGTTCTGGGCTCGCTATGTCGATGGCACCTTCGTCGTCAAAACAACTGACATTGAGCACCTAAAGGAACTACTGAAGTCGGTTGACCCGGATATCCAATTTACGATGGAATCAGAAACAAACAATCAACTGCCCTTCCTTGACGGGCTTGCGCGCCGGTGTACAACTGGAAAACTGCGAACCGCAGTATTCCGGAAATCTATCGACACGAGACAGATCCTACATTTCAACAGCACCATCTTCTGTCTCACAAACGTAGCTGTGTCCGCACTCTATTCAAAAGAGTCCAAGCGCACTGCATCACGCCAGAAGATACAACAGCCGAACGATTGCACCTTCAAAACCCATTTGCAGTCAATGGTTATCCCAGACGAGAGAAGCAGACGTCGTGCGCACAGACGAGGGTCGAATGAGTAGCAACCTGAAGTCTGGAAGGCCATTCCCTACGTTAAAGGGGTCTCTGAAGCGTTCTCTTGACTGTCACAACCCACCAGAGTAGGCATAGCCCGCCAACCCCAAGCTACAATTCGACGTCTTCGGAAACAACGTAGGATCCATTGCCACCCACCAACACCTCAGCAGTCAAGTTAAAAATAAATTGTAATGAGGGTGACTGCAACTATGTGGAATTAACCGGGCGGAAATTTCAAACTCGCCTACAAGAGCACAAATCGGCTACTCGTAGGTTAGACCCAAACTCTCAATCAGCAGCACACGTTGGAGAAACTGTGCATACTTTCGATCTCCAGCGAGCTATCATCTAAGGTCGGTGCAACACAAAAGCAGAACGGCTAACCCTCGAGGCGTGGTTCTCCGATGCCAACTCCATCAACAGGCATATGGACCTTACTGCAGCTTACAAAGTCCTACGTGATCGAAATCGTAGGGCTCAGGACCAAACAACCATACCGGACTTAAGAAGGCCGTACGGAGATAACCTGACGGCGACTTTACTCGGTGAAGAAGAACAAGAACCGCCAGACCGACCAGCCGACACTGGTCCAATCACCTTCCCCCGACTCACAAAGCACGAGATCCGTGCTTGCTACAGCAGCTCTGAAGAGTATAAGCACGCCTTGGAAACAATATTTCTCTCCCCTTTAAATTGCAGATTCTCACCTAAACCTACTATTAAAGACAATCGCAGTTAGGAGGGGCGAAGGTTAAGTGGCTACAGTATCTGTATTGTGCAACTGGCTTGGAATCATTGCGGTAAGTAGCTGCTGGAATATTAAAAAGCAAGAGGTTATCGCACAGTTAGAATAACTGTCGATGGACGCGGGAGCCGCTACTTACGATATACATATGTATAGGCAGAATGATATTACCGACAAGGACAAGGGAGACTGGAATGGCCATTTCGGGCTTATTAACCGTCGTCAGCCAGCCATACCCAAGCCCGAAATGTGGCACACACATGGCTCGAACTCACGACCTGTTTTTTAGAAGTCCACGCCTCTAACCACTAGACCACGAGCCCGTTGCCCTCTCGGTTTTTGATCGGGAATATACAATGGTAGGGGACGCTCACCGATCGTACTTACGGAACTCACTCGTTCCGTTGCGTCTTATGGACTCTCTCCCGAGCCCAACCAGAAGCCGCACAGCGGCGCCTGATATAGGCAGAATGATATTACCGACAAAGACATGAGTGAAGATTCTTGGAATATATATGTATATAGTCAGTGGTGTGGCAAAGGCATCCGGCAAATAATTAATCCCTTTGCATCCATCAGCCCAATGTGTATTTGTCTCTGATGGTAGATGTGTGGATGTAGCCAATGGTCCGTTTCATTGGCTCTTTAAAAAAAATTGTAATCGTCGAGCTGAGAAACTTTTCCACAAAATGCAGTCCTGCGCATACTATGGATCGCCGAGATGTTTTTTCCTAAACACTGACGATCGCCTTAAATTAGTGCGCATGCCCTTGGACATATGCTGCCATAAAAGAGCGTATGGTGCGCCAGATTGACCATCTGGTGCTAGCGACTAACACTCTTAATGTTTCGTGCCGAAATGCACGTACATCTGCGAAGTTTCTTTAACCAGGATCCCATATGCTAGGGTGTCTATACATATTTGTTGTTGACTTAAATGACCGTATCGCGCGATCTCACGGATTGACGGAGGGTGAATAAAAACAAAAAAACGACCCTCACAGTTTTGTGATCAACAAAGTTTACATTAGCCTGTTGCACCACTAAAACTGCTCCGAAATATTCTAACTGCCAGGCGATTTTAAGATGCTCACCTGTTTCTTGAAAGTTTTCAACCATCAATGTAGCCGCAAAATTTTAATTTTATTTTATGGAATTGTCAGAATTTGACGCTACTGATACTTCACCAACCGTCGGACTATACTGCACTTTTGAATTATCGATGTTCCAGTCAATTGTCAAAACTGCCTCCTTTCATGTTATTTGCAAAATTACCCAAACGCCTGAACCACACCGAAATGTGTTCCCGATCAGTGCATAATTTATTGAGTTCAGAAACTGAGCATTGAGCAAGTGGCAGTCGCCATAGAAACAAACGAAAATTTGCAAACGTTCTTGCATTGTAGCAAAAGACAGTTAGAGGAGAGATCAGGAGGCTGTTTTCATTTTCTCAATTTTAATTTTTAATAAGGACGGATTTGAACGCACCGTAGGGATCCTCACCGCCTCAAATAGGGTTAGCGGCTAACAAAACAACCAAAAACGCGAGATTTCGGTAGAAATATTTCACTCAAAATTATTTTGTTACTCTGCTGCAATCGTTTCCTCTGGTAATCATTCTTTCATATAATTCCATTGCCCTTTCTGAGAGGCAAAAAAATTTTTGAAGAATGAGACACGATCGCTAGGACAAGAGCTTTATTAGCCTGGCGTTTTGGATTCCTGTTCGAATCCATCATCAGAAACAAAACAGACACGGGTGGTTCATGCATAAGGAACTGCAGTATTTATAGGATGCTGTAGCTATGCTACGCTTACCGATGAATGTTCACGGCTCCCCCTTTCATCAGGGATCGTTGCACGTGGTGTGATGGCCAACATTCGCGTCGTTAATTGCAGCAATTTCATCACGTGCGTTGGATGTTGGTGTGATGATGGCTCGACAATCAGACGCGCTGACGTCAGGTTAATAAAGCTCTTGTGTCAGTGATCGTGTCTCCTTCTTCAAGACTGCTTCCTGTGACTCGGCTCTTCGCTTCTGTTAGAAAAAAGTTTGTTTTTTGCACTTTGTGAAAACTGTATCCGATTTTAAGCTTGCCTAAACGCGATTAACGGCATTTGTTGCAGTCTAATTAAATTTTACATCCCTACAGAATGTTATACTGCTCCATGGACATCGTTAAATGCCTGTGTTTATTAAGCTGCGCTTTTCTCACCGGCAGAACATGGTATAGTATCACTCTTGACTGCATCGAGAATGGACTGTTGGGATACTAATGGCGCAAAGTGTACCGCCTTACTTCCGTCAAAAATATTAAGAGGTTTCACTTGGTTTCTAAAAATTTCCATTTTTTCGCATAAAGTAAACCGTAAACGTTGGCACTTAGGCAACAGATGCAAGAATTCATTAAGTATGTCGTTGTTTTAGCTAACGCAGTGCAATAACGCCAAGCAAAATTGAGTACCCAAGCGCTGCGCATGGTAAATAAATCAGCCATTTGTCGATTTTTAATGTACTATAGGCCATCTACCACAGAAAAGCGTAACAAAATACTGAAACTTCTTTTATGTGGTAAGTATTATTTAAATGATGACGTCATGCGGATTAGCATGCATTATGACCCACGCTCGTGTCATGCAGTGGTCATAAACCTTTGTGTTTGATGAGAACTGGGTTTCATACTGCAAATCTTTTTAGAAAATCCTTCATTGAACTAAAAATCTCGTAATTACAACCTTTTTGGGTAAGAAATCATAAAAACCTTTATTAGCCATCAAGCAGTTATACGAGTTAAGGTTTTGCAAGTGCTTTGACAAAATGTGCTTGCATTTATAAAGACAGTGAAAATAGGTAAAACATTCACACTACGAATATGTGCATTTTTTTCGCGTGCAATCGCTTCAGGCAGTCGGAGAGGAATGCAAATAAAAGCCGACATTTTGCTAGGAGTGAAATTCCATGGGAGTGCGCTTGATGATAATTAATGTGAAAACTCCGCTTAAATAATCCTTTCAAAATGAACAGAGATTTTGGGGTTTTTCATAACATATTTAACGCACGTAACCTATGTCCCGGTATCCACATCTAAAATAGGCTCTTGTGCGCGTGAGAGCAAAGAAGGCGATGGCTGTGATGCCCATTATTGTAGTCTCGATGGCGCTGGTGTTCGCCTGACCTTGTGGAGGTGAATTTTGGGAAGCCGTTTCCACCGCCTAAACAGATTTTTATATCAAATATTTCTGCTTAAATCTGGCACATCTGCTCGAATGCTCGAGCAATTCTGTCTGTGGATTGCCGCACGTCCAGACATAATCCCTAAAGGTTGGTGGGCGTAAACAGTGAGCATTTTAGTCCCCTCAAGCAGACAGCTTAATGTCGCAGAACGATCGATGTCTGATTGGAAAGAGCTGACTGACGGCGACTGACATTTTTACAGTGAATTTGGATTCACCTATTAGGTTGCAAATGCCTAAAATCAAAAAAACTATAATAGGCATTTTTAATTGCTAAAAACGTATAAACTTTGGGCCTTGTTAAGCGACTCAACTTTTGGTATCCATAATTATGACCATTTGTCCTTTTATTTAAATATCGCTATGAACGAACAGCAGTGTTTAGAAAATATAGCTTTTGTACGCGCTGTATTAATTCAATTTCAAGCCGCTTGTTTCATTGAAGCATGAGAAAACATAGTTAGAAACATGTTCCGCAGTAATATGTAAAAACTAAAATATTTCCTGAAAACGATCAAGCAAAGAATGACAGCTGTTGACAAGTGAAGATAATGCAAGTTTAGGACGGTATATGTTCGAGAAGTCTATAAGAGTGTTTACGGTTGGTTTGTATATTTTGCCGGATTTCTTATCTTTTGCTCATCCCAAATAAGCATTTGATCAAACATAAGCTTGGTCGATGAGATTCAGCAAAACTATTTTCTGAATTTTCTTTAAAATAGTAGGTCTTTAACTTTGCATTTTCCCGTGCTACTTGCAGCCGCTAAGAACTATTAAGAAAAAGTTCAGACATCTTAAAAAATTATTTTCATGACGTTATTTGTTCCGTCTCTTCGGTTTCCGTCTTATTTGTCCAAATATAAATGACTGAATGGGTAGAAAATCAACGAAATACAAAAACATTTTGTCCCTTGCTGACCTAACTCTGCAAAAATACATGGTGAAAGTGAGCTTCATGTTTTGCGCTTTGTGCTTAAGTTACAGGTTTGTTCAAAACATGCCATACCCATTTGCCGAATATAAGTC